ACTCATGGGCTGCCTGTGGGCATGGGGCACGGGTTCATTACTCCTGTTTTATACGGTAGATGCAGGGGCATTTTCTCAGATGCTTTTACATGTCACAGCAAAAGGATACACAGAAAGACACTATTGTCAACTGAATGATTCTGAAATAAGTTAGACACACCATCACTTGGAAATGTAATTGGTTTTGTTAGGAGACTATTTGTTACTGTTGTGTTCATTTTGGTTTTAAGTGTGCTCAGACACAAGTCCAGCCTTTGCCCAGCAGATTTTTATGATCTTTGACATCTGTTTAAAATTATTTAAACATCTGTTTAATGCTGTTTCTCTTTGACCATAATAAAAAAGATCCTGATGGTCAGCAAAGAACTGTCAAACATAGGGAAACATTTGGGGAAGGGAGAGAAATGGTCCTTTCAGTTCAAGTCACACTGCATTACCCTCAGCAATCAAGGACAACAGGCAAAATACCAGGAGGCAGGATGAGGGCTTGCAGTTAATAGCAGCCTAAGTACACACACTACCATTCATCTGGGCTCCATTACCCTTATGCATGCATATGCAAGCTTGTGAGGGCAGCCTAAGAGTAATTCTGTTGTTCTGTATATACAGGGCCTGGGCTGGTGACACTGAAGTCTCAGTAAACTATGACCCTCCAGATGCACTGGCCCAAGGCTAGCTAGAGCCTGTGTCTGACTCAGATTCACAGCAAGCTTCTCACAGAATGTGGGAGTGCAGGCATGAAACCACCAAGCACTACATCTCTTACAAACAGCTACACAGGCTGCACTTCCTAGGTAACTTCCCATTTTGTTGTTTGTAGAAAACCTTCTGAGTGTCTTTAAAAGACAGAGGGGTACATTTCCTCTGCAGACATGCACAGCTGTAACCAACAACAGGCAGTGGAGCCTGCATCAGCCTCTGGCAGGCACCAATGCCTGTCCCACACACACCCTGCTCTGATGGGCACAAGGGGCACATCTGTGCCAGGAGGTGAAGGCAGAGCTGGCATCCCAAACCAAACTGCCGTGCACAGAGCAACTTTGCTGGCTTTAAACAGAAAGAACATGACAGAGTTAGCCAAAGAGACAACCTGCACACCTGGGGGCAGAGCTGGCAATTCTGCAAGGAAGGCCCCAGCTGGCAAGGCAAAACTGAGAATGAGATGGAGACACAACAGAAACTTTAGGTTCTCCCAAAATAATTTTCCAAAAGGTGAATCACAGAAGTTTACATATGGCATCATTTTAAGATATTTTACCCTTTCACACTTACAGGAGCAATTGCCTGTTTGCTGCCCAGAACCAGCAGTGGAAGCCCTGAAGATGAAAAGCACACTGGATGGGACATCAGCTACCAGGCTTTCTCTGGAAAAGTTTGCAAGTGGCAAACAAACAGTTCTCAAGAAACCAGGTTACTTGGTGCAGGTATGAGGAATAAGCTGGGCAAAGAACTGCAGACAGCAGCAGGGAGAGAGGCAGCAGGAAGAGCCCTGCATCTCCTGATTACTCAGAGGATGAGAGAGGTGGGTCCAGGTAACAACTGCTGCTCAAAAAGCAGCCAGGAAAGTCACAAGCAGATCAATACCTTCACCCTCTGAGTGCACCACCCACACCTGAAAGCCTCTGGCTGCTCACCTGTTGGAGCATTTATCTGCTGCTCCTTCTGAGCTCTAGCTTAATTGCAACCTTTTATCGTGAACAACTGTACCCTCACACAATATAAAATACTAATGCTTATTGAAATGGAAAAGGTACAGCCAATGACTTGGATAGGGAACAGTACAGCAATAACTCTTGTACTTGAAAAGAAAAAGAGGTTTTTTTCAGTCCTTAAAACAACTTGCAAGCTTGCTGTAATTAAACTTCACAGCAGAGATGGTAAAAACAAAGGAGCAGATAAATGTGTTAAGATTTAGAGCAAGTTTTGCAATACTTGTATATGACAACAGAAATATTTAGAGTATCAGAATGCTTACAAATGCACAGATACAACTATGCACAAAGATTATAATCCTATTAATTAGTTTTACTTTTATGAATTATTTGAACTTGTTTTCTGCTTAGCATTTAGTCACTCAAAAGTGACTCATTACATGCCTGAAAGAAATTAATCTAGAAACGAGCGATGGTAGAATACACTTCCTGTGGTTAAACCACTCACAGGTCTCTCTTGGCTGAACTGGGGAGCAAATAATTACCATCTCTGGAAGCAAATTCAAGTCACCTTCACTAATGCTAAACTCTTAAACTAAGCTCTCCTGCCTAACAAGTGAATGCAGCTAAAAGAACTGATAATCTCTTTTAAGGTTTAAGTGTAGCAGCAGTTTAGCACCTTTCAGCTATATCAAAAAAGCAGCAACTATTACCATCTGTCTTCAAAGCCTGTATGAGAAGTGGTGTGATTAATTTCTCATCTGTCTGAATACTACCTGTGCTGTTAGATACACTTGGTAAGAAAAGCCAAGCATGGAGGGAAGAGGAAACAGCCACTTAAGAGAAAGAAATGTTTAAACTCCCAGCAAGCAGGTTCTCTAGTCATCTCTTACATCATGCTCTCCTCAGTGGTCAAAAAAGTTGTGAATGCAGAAGGAAGCATGTGCTACAGAAATTCCAGTGACAGGGACAGAGCTCTTGGTTTCAGAGTCAGCCTTCCCTGAGCACCACAACCCAGGCCTGAAGCACCTCACACACGCTGCATAAAGAGCAGCCCAGGTCCTGAGCACTGCAGGGATGTGTGGAGTGTGCCACACTCCAAATCTCACTGCAGGACATTGTGAGCTGTGGCCTTTGGTGTTTAAGAAAAAGGAAACTGTTTCCTGAATCGCTGCCAGTTATCACTGTCACAGTTGCCTCGGTCTCCAAGAGCCGGAAGAAATGCAGAAGGAGTCTGCTCTCTCCCCCAGTGAGCCTGAGTACACGCAGGAGTTGTTACAGAAATTCAAATCTTCCCAGACACATCATTTTCCAGCAGAGATTCACCTCTCTTCTGACTGAATCTATCCATAACCACACAAGGCTGCTGCTACTGTGTGTCTCTCTGCTACAGGCGGGCCAGCCTGGGGACAGCACTCCCCCAGTGTGACACAGACGAGAGGCAGAGCTTGCCCTGAATCCCACAGAGCTGCGGTGCAGCCCCGGTGCCTTGGTGACACTGCTCGGGCTGCAGGTGCCAATGGCTCCACCAGCAACAGCTCCAAGCACACAAAAACTTCTGCTATCAGTTTAAGAGGAAGCACCACAGCCAGCTTTGAACGTGTCCTCTCCCTCCTCCACTCTCTCAGAAGTGAAAGAACTTTTTCTGTTGAAGAAAAGTAAGGAAATGAAAAGAGACCCAGTAGGATGGGTACAGGTAGACCAACATATTCCTCTATAAACGACAGGAAACCTATCTCCACAAAGAAAAATGATCAGCCTGTCTTATCATGTCCCAGGCCACAGCCTGAGCAGGAACAATGACGAGCATTCACTGAAATTTTGAGCATTCTCAAAGTAGGCACACTGCAGGGGTGTCACAGCAGCTCTGAGGAGCCTCCTCCCTCTGCTTTGGGAGTTCTTAGAGAAGACGAAAAGGGACAACCCTAAGACAACAGCCTATCATTTTTCTACAGCACTACAGACTTCATCAAGACATGATCTACTTGCCTTAAACATATTTGGACTTCTACTGCTGCTGCTGAAGCAAAATTCTCGCTGTAAGATGTCAGCAAAGATTTAAAAATACTGAAGGCAGTAAACTCAAGGGCTTCTCAAACATGTAAAAAGTACTGAAATAGTACATTTTGGTCCTTTGTAGCACATGTATTTTTAATACTAATGCGTGCTGTTTGGATATTTAACACACAGCTCCTACCTAAATCTCCTTATTTGTGACACTCAGTCTGTGCACAATGGGGTAGTGAAGCCTCACGGTGTGAAACATTTTCATGGCCAGTCATAAGCATCAGATGTAAAGATGAGGGTATGCAAGGAACATCACAGGAGGCAGCCCATAAATACTGCCTTCTGTTACACATGGAAACACATTATAGTCTGATCGCCCAGTATTGATTTCACTTTAGAAGCAGCTTTATTATTTGCTGCTTTCAAAACTCTTTTCAATGTGCTATGTGGCAGCTTTGTGCATGTGGAAGATTTTTTTGGAAAAGCATAAATAGACTGTGAGCAAGGCTTGTGATCTCCAAGTACGGGTATTTGGAGAGGGGCTGGCTGCAGGCAGTCCTTCTGAACCCCACAGGGTCTGAGCCTTGCAGGACACCCACGCTGCACATCACAGGCGGACCACGCTGAATTAAAAATAGCAGATTAAAGCACGCAAAGTGTGTAACAGTTGGTAGAGTATATGGATGAACCAGGATGTGGGAGTCATAATATCAATTTACTAAATATTTATAAATGCTTCTAGCTACCAGTGATAAGAAATACTTAATACTGATTACAGCTGTCTGCCCACAGCTAAATTTAACACGATCCAAGTGTTAATACTACGGGTTTTCCTAGCAGCCTGTGGAGAACGGCAACAGCTTATCCGAAGAGGCACTTCCTAAGTAAAAAGGAAAAATTATTTCTACGGTCTGCACGGCAAAGAAAAGATGGAAAAAGCCAAAGGAACGATAGGCAGAGGCCTTTCGGAACGAGCCGACACCCACCTCCATCCCAGCCCGCCGACGGGAGACGTCAGGGTTTCACCGGGGACCGCGGCGCGGGTGCTCGGCGGGGACGGGCGAGCGCCCGGTACCGGCTGCCGCGACCCCGGCGAGCTGCGCCCTGCCCGGCCCCGAGCCCCCGGCCCGCCGCACGCAGACAATGTCCGCCGGGAAGCGGAGAGAAGCGCATCGGCGGCGGCTCGGCGGGCAGCGGGGAGCCGGCACCGCACGGCGCCCCCCGCGAAGGGGCTGCCACGGCCGCCCCCGGCAGGGGGAAGGGCCTCCCCCGGCCGCCCGCACCGCCGCGGGGGCTGCGGCTGAGCCCGCCGCCCGCTCCCGCCCGCCCCGCGGCGCCCACCTGGTCGGCGAGCTTGAGCACGGCCATCCTCCGCCCCGGCTCCCGCGCACATGCAGCTCCCGCGACGGGCGGCGAGCGCGCCCCGCGACCGGCGCTGCTGCTGCTGCGGCGGCGGCTCCGCTTCGCGGCGGGGCGGGGGCCGCCTCGCCTGGTCCGGCCCAGGAAGCAGGGGCGGGCGGGCTGCCGCGCACGGCCGCGCCGCCACCGCCGCCTGCCGCCGCCGCCTTTGTTCGCGCCGGCGGCCGCTGCCGGAGCGGAGCGGAGCGAGGGCCGCCCGGGGCTCTCGGCGCCCCCGCCCCGCCGGGCAGCGCGGGGGGCGGTGCCGCCGGACCGGGCGGGACCCGCACGGACCCGCCCCGCGCCCCGGCCGGGGTCCCGGGCACCTGCTGCACGCCGCGGGAGCAGCCGCGGTCCCTGAGGGACGCTGAGGGACACGGCGCTGCCCGCGGGCCCGGTGCCCCTTCCCCGCCGCAGGGGCTGCCTCGGGCACCGCGCCGGCTGCAGCCCTGAGGGCCGCGCTCTGAGGGGCCGCGCCCGTTCCCACCGCGCTGAGGGACAGCAGCGAACGTGCTGACCCAAGCCCGGGTAGAAGGAGAAGCCGAACCCTTAACCTCTCCCTCCCTTCCTTCCATGTGGGCGTGCAAATCCATTTGTCAGATTCCATCAGAGAGACACAACTGTTTGACAGGAGCCTGTTAGGTTTTTTTTGTCTCTTTTTGTAGTAGCTATATTGAAAAATCTGGAAACTCCTGACAGTCCAGATCTCTTCCTACTCAATATATTACTTAATTTTTCAAAAACATACTAAATAATAAGTACAGTTTAATAAGCAAACAAACTAGCCCCAGAGTCCCTGCCTCGTGCTGTAGAGAAAATGAACATCATCCCCTGTTCCTGTTGAGCTGACCTGGGGGAAACTTCAGTTCCACCCTCAGAGCTGACTGTCAGTGTCACTGAGCACCAGCGCACAGCCAGGCATGCAAGGCCAGGGGCTGGCAAGGGGAGAAGAGAAGAAGAAGAAAAAAATAAAAAAAAAAAAGCATGGAGGGGTAAATTTACATTCTTTCTTACTCCTCAGAGCTGACAAGCTAAATCCCTGGAGCATGTGATTTGATTAAAATCATTGGTACAATGCACAGCAACAGGGGTTACACACATGCTGAAGGTAATGAGGGTAATTACATTTTTTCCAAGGACATGTAACTGAAGAGCAAAGGGCTGAAGATTCCCTCTTCCCCTCCTCCAAGTCACACAAAGGCCAGGTATTTTCTCACAAGTTAGATTCTGCAGTAAGAAACTCCCATATGCTGCAACACATCCAATATGACAGTGATTTATGGCTTTTCAACACTTAATTACAGAATGAGGTGACTCTTAAGTAGTTAAAAAAAGGGAAGTGTCTTCTATGGAAGAAAACCAATCCAGCAAGGAAGCAGATGTTTGTTTCAGGCTTTTGAGGCATCATTATAAGCAGGGATTAAAAATATCACACAATTTACAACACGTTTTGACTCCAATTATTTTAAAGGGCTCTTAATGGCAAAACAGTGTTAATATAAATTAGTCTTTTAAAGGAAAAAAACAAAAAACAACCCAGTGAGACAATCCAGTACTTTCTGGATTGGTGTCCCACCAATTTAGGCCAGAAATTTGGTTTTGACAATCTAAGAAAAATTATTTTTCAAATTTGTTCTTTTCTCCCCTCACTTTCTGATCCAAAAATCTAGTACAAATCCTTGTACTTTCTTTGGGACCACTGACACTCCTGTCAGGGAGATAAATCATCTGAATGGAAATTTGCAGTGCAGTAGGAGCCCAGCTGCTTGGAGGTCAATAACTGGGCTAGATGAGAGCTAGTGATCATAGAGGAGATGGGTCATGACAGTGCTGTAATATTTTTCTCAAGTTTTTTTCCCAACAAGCAGAGTCTCGTGCCAGCTCCTCTTTCCCAGGCTCCACAGGATGGAGTCTAGGAGAATCAACCACCTCCAATGCCACTCCTTGGAAGGCCCCCAGGGACATGCAGAACTGCAGAAAGTGTTCAAATCCCATATTAAGCAGACAGCTCTCAGATTACAGAGGTCCTTACAATTTTATTTACTTCCCATTTAAAGGATCTGCCAAGAGTAGTCACAGTGTTACAGTCATTACCCACATAGTAAAGGAGTCCAAGATTTCTCTGAAAATACAATGTCCTCCTCTCCTGTTCACAAAATAGCACAAACAACTATCTTTCAGTCATGCCCAACCAACAAAAGCTTTTCTGAGTTATTTTACTCAACAACTTCTTAGCCCAGGCTGATACATAACTAATTCCATGACACATTTTCAAGTGAAATGATGCAAAATGCTCAGCTGCCCTTTGTTGAAGAAGAGTCACAAAGCCATTAGGTAACTTTTCAAATAATGTTCATGCCTGCAGCTCTCACACCTGTAGCTCTAATGTTCACTTTCCATACCAAGAAAAGTACCACCAAAACAGGTGTGCAACATTCTCAGTGAGAATACACTTGAGCTTGCCAGATACTGTCATCTTGGGTTAAACCTGTATTTGCAAAGGAAAAAGCCCTAGGGCTACACTGGGCCTCTGACAGGGAAATGGAAAGAAACCCTCTAAGGACAGTGAGTGCATTTGCTCCTTGCTGACCCATACCCAATACTAAGAGGGTTCTGTGCATCCAGTTGAAGCCTTCTGTGAAACATAATCCCCTATTGCATATTTTAAAAAGCAAAATAGGAACATGAAAGTTTGAACTTTAGCACTTAAACAATTTCTGTCCAACAGAAAGGAAGAACTGCCTCAAATATGCTGCAGTTGCCCACACTTAAATTTCTTCATCTTCTGTCCACAACATAATTATGTGCTGTAGTGTATGGGCCCAGTACCACGGATGTCTGCCTTTTTTTCTTTTCACCTTTTCATTTTGTCCCCAGAAAAACAAAGCTCCTCCAGTTCCATCTAAACTGGATTGTTCAGCCATTTGCTACCAGCAGTCATACACATATGAGACACTTCCTCACTCCATTTTGTGTCAGGAAAACCTCTTAGCATTCTTATACCCATTTGGGCTCAACGAAACTCGCAGGCACACTTAGATCTAGGCATGTGACTTCAACAGAACTTCATCATCATCATAAATTATCAGCCTTTGATTAAGATCTCACCTGTCATTTTCATATGGGGTCATAGTGCAAGTCTTTGTTTGGGTATTGGCTTAGGACTTGAGAGACTCCCCATTAATTCTGTCTCGTGCCACAGTGCTCATGCATGGTGCTTGTTCCTCATGCTGCTTGTCTTGCTGCCTGTAGAAGGAAATTCTCCTGCTTTGTGAGGAACACCCTCTGACATGGCTGTGATGCCTTAAGTCTCAAGGCATCAGCTGGGGAAGGATTTCAGGTAAAGGCCACTGGCCACTGCTTTGAGCATTACCCTGCCACCACAGACTCAGTGTTAAGGGTTATGCACTTCCCATGTGCTATCAGGGAAGAAAGCAATCTCCTTGAAATAAATCCATTTTACTGTATATACATGCTGTAGTGAGCTGGGACAAGGGTGGGAAATGAGTGAACAGCCTACACAAAAGAGCAAGTTCAGGAGTTCTCCCTGCACCCTGTACAAACATGTCTGCAAATCATCTGCTGAATCCCTACAAACCCTCCTGCATCTCAAACAGACAGATCTCTGCATTAGTCTGATGTTTCTGCAGCCTAACAGGATGTGGTCACTTTAAGGCAGCCAAAAGTCTGCATTGCCACTCTCCTCCCTGCTCCTGCTCTGCCTGCACTGTTGAGCAGAGGCAGGGGAAGAGTTCTGCTCTGTGTTTCTCTCCAAAGCCAGGTCTGCTGCTGTATTTAAGCATGATGATCACTCACAGATGGAGGGTGCAATTGTTCCTAGACATATGTTTGGCTCCTGCCTCATGAAGGAAACTAAGCACACAGTCAGCATAGTCCTCAGCAGCGTTTGTTTGCCACTGCTGAGCAAGGATGGAGGACAGAACTGATACCAGAAGACATATTTGTGATCTCTAACTGTTTCTAATAGCACCAGATACCTGGCATGCCTCTGGTCCCTACCTGTTGCCTATCCCCTAACAGCAGCATGTGAACATCTTGCTGCACATTCTTCCCCCTTACAGATCAGAGGGAGTCGGATTAGAGCGATGTACAAGCATCACTCTGAGTGTCTGCTGTGAGGAAAACAAGCACAAACATACAGAGCTGTGTCAATTTGAAATGGAAGGGCAGACTGGCCACAGCAGGAGACTGGCAAGCAGAACAAGCACAACACCAGAGACAGTAACTAATCATTGCTGTCACCGTCTCCCCTCCTGCACTGCTCCAGCACACAGGGTGACTGTGAGGTGGGAAGGGAATGGTCATCTCAGATGTTTCTCCCCTCCTGCACTGCCCTCTCCAAGTCTTCTTCCTTCTGTTTTAGTATGATTCTTCTATTTTTCCTCCTAGACCTACTTGTTTAATATATACATGGGACAGGGGGTGGGGACAGTGTGAAATGAAACCAAGTGAACCGATCCACTGACAAGGACAGAGAGGGGCAAAGAGGAGACCCTGGCAGCACCTCCACTTGTCCAGACACAGGCCTCCTCCTCTTATTTCAAATACTTCTTGATTATACTTCTGCAGCCATGTAGTTAATGCACAGCATTAGACATATGATACAATAAGAAGCTGTGAATTTAAAGCTGGAATTATAATTATTACACCCTTCTGCTGTGTTAATCAAAAAGGAAAAAAACACTCCCTCATACATGAAGGTGTCCTCACGGTTGGTCTGAGCTAGCACCTCTCTTGCAAATGTCCATGTAATTAGCACCAGGTATTGAAAACAGGGGAGGAATTAAGGCAGATGACAACTAGACAGGCTAAACAGGGTCAACTCCTTTCTGGTTATGGCAGTCTAGAAATGCATCTCTGCAAAAGAAAAAGACTTCACCGACAGTAGAAAGCATTAGCCTCACTTCAGTTCTTAAAGCAACATGTTAGTGGCCTGCCTGTGAAAATACACATCCATCCTGACAAGAGGCTGCAACAAAGTTTCCAGCAATTTGTCACGTGAGCCAGTACTCAATCTGGAAACCAGGTAAACCTTATATCAC